ACTATCAAGACCTATTATAATTGAATTACCAAAAACAAAGACAATCAAGACCAGCAACAAAAAATAGATTTCTCACACACATTGGAATCTATATGAGGCTACCAGGGAATTTCTCAGCATTACTTTCTTAGCCAAAGTGGACTGGTGGTTCATCCTCTCTAGACCAGCCCTAAAAGGAATACTGAATAGTTTCTCTACTGTGAGAAACTGATAGTGTAAATAAGGGTTAAAATGATTAAAATGAATAATTGATAATTTGAAATAGGAAAAAAGGTCCGACGACATAGGGATGAAGGGAGGGGAAGGGGAAAGGAAAGAAGGGAAAGGACAAATTATGAGAAAAGAAAAAAATGGAAATAATGTCTATGTAAATAGGGAAGGTTGAAGGGAGTGAAGAGAACACAGGTAATGGGGAAAAATAAGAATCAAGATACATCATGTACAGGTATAAACACCCAATGATAAATGGAAACATATTGTATACCTAAAATGTACCAATAAAAGAACTTAAGGAAAAAAACCACTGAAAGTGTTCTTTGAGTTTAAAGGAGAGGACACTAATAAGTAACATGACAAGATAAGAAAGCACAAAACTTACTGGTAAATCTAAGTACATGTTCAAATTCAGAACACTAATACTGTTAATGGTGATAAATAAAACACATCTCCCTCTAGTACAAAGGTTACAAGAAAAAACAACCTTCACTACTTTGAGATATACAACATAAAAAGATCCAAACTGTGATATCAGAAGTATAAAATGTGTGTGCAGGGTAGTAAATAGTAGTAGAGTTTTGTATGCAAGTAAAGATATTAGCTCAAAATAGTTACAATATGATATGATATTTTAGGTAGAGCTTACAATAATCATAAAGCAAAAACTTATTATATATAAAAATGACAGTATGTCTGTAGTCTCAGCACTCTTGGAGGTTGATGCAGGAGGACACCAACTTTGTCCCTCTTGGGCAATTTGGAGTCTTAGCTAGATGCAGTCTTAAAGTTTTAAAAGGTGGGGGGAAGTGCTAAGGAGGTACCTCAATGTGAAGGCTCTAGATCAGGGGTGGTGAACCTATGGCACATGAGGCACAGTGAGCAGTTTGTTCAACCGAAAGCCCTAAAAGGTTCGCCATCACTGCTCTAGATTCATTTGTGATTACTCAAAAATGTAAATAACAAAATAAAGACAGAAAAATCCAAACAAACAGAAAAAGTTCAAACCACAAAGGAAGAGAGAAAAGAAAAAAAAAGAATCAATCTACAGGAAGTACAGAAAAAAATAGGTAAATCTTTACTCAATGATTTACCTTCAATATAAATGGATTCCATTTACTAATCAAAGACATAGAATGGCTGAATAGATTACAGGGAGGTGGTGGGGAACTCAAGCATAAGGTACCTGTAAGGGATTCACTTCAGGTCTAAGGACATATATAGAAAGATGTAAAAGGATGAAAAAAATAGACACTCATCCAAATAGAAATCAAAAGAACAAGAGGAGCAACACATATGCCAAGACACTGTAATAATTGACAAAGAAGTTATTATACAATACCTTTGTCAATTGAATGAGAATCTAAAACTTGTATGCACCCAACATCAAAACCCCTAAAAATATAAAGCAAATATTAATATATCTACAGGTAGAGGTAGTCAAGCAATAATATTTGAGGGCTTCAACACCCTACTTTAAAAACTGGATAGATTATTTCGATAGAAAATAAGACTGTACTTGAAAGTACATATTAACATTTCTTTAAATCTAGTCAAACAACAATTACTGGTGACTGCATTTTACATGAATGAATATATCCCAAATTATTGCCATAAAGTCTCTACATTACTTTCTCATTTCAAATCAAAAGGAACCAACATCAGGGAAAAGAAATCGCACAAAACTGAGAGTTGGCTTTTAGAAACACAACTGAAATTAACAAGGTACAAAATTTGGAAGAAAATACAGAAATCTCAAATTCAGAAATGAATGACTATTCACTACAGCTTATACTATAGAAATAATAAAATCTTAAGATGAACAATTCTAGCCAACAAATTGGATAACTCCATAAAAGAGAGAAATTTCTAGAAACCTACAATCTACCAAGAGTCCTTCAAGAAGAAACAGAAAATCTGAATAGACCCACAGTGGAAATGAAACTAATCAGTAATACAAATCCTACTAGTAAGAGACACTCAGGACCTAATGGCTTCACTGCAGACATCTATCAAACATTTAAAGAAGAACTGATACCAATATCAATGCTTATCAAACTCTTCTAACAATTAACAAGTTAAAAAACATTTCCAAACTCATTTTACAAGGCCAGCATTACCCTGATATTAAAAGCACACCATAAAAGAAGACAACTACAAGCCAATATCCCGGATGTGCATAAATGCAAAATCTTTAACAAAAGTAGCAAATTAAAGAGCAAATAAAAATTTTACACAACATGATCAGTTAAGATTCATCCTGGAATGCAAGGGTGATTTAATATACATAAGCTAGTAATATGGTACACCACATTTATATATATATTTATACATAAATTAGCGATATGGTACACCATATTGACAGAATGAAAGGTAAAAGTCATATAAACCTCTCAATACAACATAATCATTACCATCATATAATCATCTCAATAGCATTTTAAAAACATGTTAATGTCCACTAACATAATGAAAGAAAAATGTCCTATAATCATCTCAGATTAGCAGAACGGACCTTTGATTAAATTTAACATATTTTTATGATAAAATCTTTCAAACTAGGTATGGGAAAATGTATCTCAAAACAATAAAGGCTACATAGGATAAGCTCACTGCTAACATCATACTCAGTGGTAAAAGCCAAAAGCGCTTCCTATAACATCAGAATAGGATGATGCCCACTCTTGCTGTTCTATTTAACTTAGTGCTAAAGAGTCCTAGCCAGAGCTAGTAGGCAAGAAAAAGAAAAAAAAAAAAAGAACATCCAAACCGAGAAAGAAGTTCACTGTCTCTTTGCAGATAATCTTTTCTTGTACACAAAAAACTACAAAGATGCCCCCAACTACTGACAAATTCAATGGTGTTATAGGCCACAAAATTAATACACAAAAATTAGTTTCAGTTTCATATACTAACAATTAACTATATGAAATAAAAATAAGGAAAACCTTACAAGTGTCAAGAAAAATAAAATACTTAAGGAAAAGTACCTATATACCAAAAACTAAAACACCAATGAAAGAGATTAGAGACAGTTAAATGGAAAGATACCCTGTGTTCATAAATTGGAAGAATTATTTTTTTGTTAAAAGATCTACACAAGCCAAGGCAGTTACAGATTCAATGTTGTTCCTATCATGCTGTCAGTGAATTTTTGACAGATATAAGATACATCATCCTAAAATTTGTATGGAACCACAAAATACCTTGCACAGCTAAAGTAATTTGAGAAAGGAGGACAAGGATGGAGATTTCTCACTTTTAAATTGTATTATAAAGTTACAGCAATCAAAACTATTAGTTTTTATGTTATTAGTTTTTAAAATACACTGCATCCTTATACCATACACAAAAGTGAAATAAAAAGAATTAAATATCTGTGAGTGTAAGACCTGAAGCTTTAAAACTCCTGGAAGGAAATACAGCTAAGAACTCTATGGCATTGATCTTGGAAGTAATTTTTGTTCTACAATAAGAAAATCACAGGCAAAAAAATCAAAATTTAACAAGCTAATTGAGCAAAATTAATTAATAAAATTAATCAACATCAAAGTAAAATTTTTCTGTACAGCAAACAATCAAAAGACAAAATTAAAAGGAGAAAATATTGCCAATCATATCCTCTAAGAAGTTAATGTTGGTATGTATGAATAGCTCAAATGACTCAAGGAAAAAAAAAGAAGAAAGCAATCTAATTTAAAAATGGGAAAAGACTTGAATACGCTTTCCCAAAAATCATATACATATCATCAATGGTTACATGAAAAGTTGATCAGTGTCACTAAACATAAGGAAAAGGAAAAGGAAAGATGATGAGCTACCACTTGATTGTTTGGAGGTAATTCTAAAAAAATTAGAAGATTCTTAAGTATTGACAGGGATATGGAGAAAAGGGAGCTCTTATACAGTGTTGGCTCATATGAAAACTGACAGTCATTATAAAAATGTGTATGAAGAATACTAGGAAAGTTAAAAAGAACACTTCTATAAGATCCAGCAATCCTACTTCTGTGTATATATCCAGAAGTGAGTATGAAATGAAATCAGTATGTTGAAGAGACATGTATGTGTTTCCATCTTTATTGCAGTTATATTAAGAACAATCAAAATATGGAGGTGCTAGGCATGTAGCTTACTGGTAGAGCACATGCTTAGTATGCACAGGCCCTAGGTTCAATCTCTAGCACACCCCCAAATAATGGAAACAAGCTAAGTACTTCTAGTTTTAATGAACTGGGACCACACTGACCATGTGCCTCTGTGAAGTTCTCATTCTCATCTGTGCCCATTTTAGACACTGCCAGCTCCCAGTTGAAACTTTTCAAGGTTTCCTAAAGGCAAAGCAGGCCCTTTCTCCACCAGGGTGATCTTGGACCGACTGCCACCTCTCTCTTAGGATGCTACCATATTCCATTCATCCACACACTTCTTCATCGCTCTGGACTGGGCTGGCTCATTTCATTCTCTTCGATCACATGGGTGTACAGCGTTTGCTTTTCTACCATTCTCTTACTTTGGGGCATTTCATTACAGAAAGTCTGTTCTACCATGTTCAGTTAACTAGATTTTAAGGGACCCCAATTGTGTACAGTGTGTAGCCCTTATTCATATATTTATCTACTCTAATATTTTAAACCATCTATGCAAATTAACACCATGACATAATCCATTTAGACTAGGAACCAACTTTGAATAATCTAGTCTAGTGGTAAAGACAGAAACTTATTTTATTATTTCCAATATGCCTAGACTTAAATACGTATTTTGATATATTTAAGAGCAAACGTGTAAAACAACTGAAGTCACTTGAAATTTTATTCTGAAAGGTCTTGTTGAGAAAATGTATCCAATTTCCATGCATTTTTCCATAATGTTCTTATTTTATGCCATGAGCACTGAACAGATCTTGAACATATAGAAGTTTTCTGCCTTTTAAAGATCTCACAATTCTGTGGGGAGAGCATATTGGTAGAGTCATTTCTCTGGTTTAAAAAAATATCCTAATATTAAAATTTTAAAATAAAACTTTCTTATTAATACCTAAATATGAGCCAGGCAAGCCAGTTTTCAGAAATTTTAGGTCTTTGAATATTGTTTCCTATAAGTGTCAGTAGAGTTTCAGCCAGGAGCTGCACTGAAAGTCAAGGCCACCCTTTGCATTTATCACTGCCAGTCTTGCTCTGCATATTTTTTTGGTGTCTGCCATGCGTTGTTAACAGTGATTGTCATGTAATTAAATCACTGCTCATCACAAGACCCAGTTTTTATGCTGAGATAAGCATCAGAAGCCGGCAGCAGGACCCCCAGATCAATAAAAATGTTCCCATAGGATTACAAAGAGACTGGGGTTGAGTAGGGCACTAGAATTAATTAGGAATGATTTCTCTTTTTCTTTCTACTTCCAATATATTTTTAATTGTTTTTCTATTTTCAATGGGCTCTACACCCCACTTTTTAAAAAATTCTGCACGGACACTCGGACATTCCCGTCTGGAGATCTGTAGAAAGTGAACACACAGTCCCTTCTACTTTCCAGTCATCTTCTGAGCTCCACCTCCATTTAGTATTTCATCGTTTGCAAAGAAACTGTGAAAGTAGGGCTGACCGTCTAATTATTAAAACACACTTTCAACTGTAGGTGGATTTCTTTAGGTTAATAGAACACTCTCTTGACAAAGTGTAACATGTAATTTTTTTTTTCCAGTACCAGGGATTGAACTCAGGACCTTGCGCTTGCGAGGCAGGCGGCAGCACCACGGAGCTAAATTCCCGGCCCTATAACATGCAATTTCTACACATATCAGTGCATTCTAAACAGACATAAAATCCAAATGAAACCTGAATTTTAAAAAAGTTTGTACTTCAGTCAACTATATATAACATTTTGGGGGTTGGCAATGGGTGAAAGAAGTCATGGACTCGGTTTCTAGAATGCAGATGTGTATCCTAATGAGAGATGTGTCCTCATGTGATTTGGGGGCTCTGAAAACAATACTTCAAAGTATGGAGCTTTGGCAGAGACATCATGGACAGAACGAGAGTTTCTCTAACCTTTTCCTCCTCCTCATTCTCTCTAGAAGTCCATCATAAAATTGATTCTTCTTTCCTAAGATGTGTCCCAGAAACTAGAACCCACTTTCTCAAAGCCAGCCATAAAAACCTGCAATATTGCTCATCCCTCAACACACACACCCTTTCTGTTTTGAAATCTGACCCTCAGAAAATTCTCTGACTTTTGTCCAACTGACTAAAAGACTCATTCCATAGGAGTCTTGCACCACTCCCGGGAGGAAGAAAGAAATGCTACAGCCAGAGAGACCAGGAATAATCTGAACACACAGGTCTTGATGGGTTTTCCTAGCTCAGTAATATAAGATCATCATTTTGGGCCCATCACATTTCTACATGGCTGCTCCTGCTTCATGGAATCTAAAAGAGCCAACTTTCTCACATCTCTGAGGTCTTCTTTCTTAGGCTCCAGCCACATAAAACTTTCATTATGTTACTGTTAGGCCTTTCTCTTGTCAGGCTATCTTTTCTTAAAGGAGCTGGACTGTGACCTTCATGATGGGAATGAAAAGGATCACTCCATTTCTGTCTCTGATTGGGACAGTAGGAGCACCTACACTCCCAATATCTAGGATTATTAAAATTCTTGACTGTCAAAATGTAAACTAGAAATTAGGCAACAGGAAGTGGTAGCTTGAGGAGAGGAGAGGGTGGCAGTGGGTCAAAGAATAAAAGGTGATAAAGGTATTTCCAGGAATTCAGAAACAGATTTTTACATGGGAGGAGAAAAGTGAATTGAATAGTCAAAAGAACAGGAAAGAAAAGTGATCTTTTAATTGTGACACAAATGGCCTGTGGTATGATCTCATTATCAAGCATATCTAGTTACAGCTCGGTCATGGCAAAGCTATAGGGTGACAGGATGTTAACTTTGGTTCTTTTTATTCTACTAGTCTTTAAGAATTAAATCATGCATTCATTTCTTATTCAACATACACTCTTAGGAATTGAGGGAACATAGGAGAGGCTAAATTGATCCCTTTTATCATATGAATTCAGAAACAACCATGATGAAGATACATGAGTCAAACCAATACAGATATATGCAAATGGGTGCTTTTTGCAAATGAGGACCCCACAATTAAATAGATTTTTCCAAGCAAGAGAATATTGACTACCACAAGCCTCCCTGTTGCAGATACAGCCTGCTCCTATAAGGCTCAGGCCTTAGAGGATCAGAGAAAAATGGCTGTTTTCTGAAGGTAGGTTGAACCCAAAGAGAAACAGAGGAAATGGGGCCAAATGCACTTGCCTATCTCTGCCTCCTTGGGGGCGGGTGGAGTGAAGATGGGGCCCAAGAAGTCGCTAGGATTGCTTCAGCAAAGCTCCCCCCATGGCAGCTTCTAGAATAGAGGTCTAGAGCAAAGATCCCTTCCTAACAAGAGACACACATGAATAGATTATTGCCACCAGAAATTAGATGTAGTTTATACTTTCAGGGAGCTTACAGTCCAGCATTGAACTAGAGCTACACATAAGCGATAGTATGACATATGCCCAGCTTCATTTTCCAGCAAGGGAAACACATTGAACCATGTGGGAAGTAGTTGGACCCAACTTACTTTTTGATTCCTGCAAAAACACTTATCTCAAAATATGGTGGATCCCAAGCAATCTCTATTCATCTACTCCTAGTACATATATACCTGCCTCAGTCTAGAACAGCCTATTCTCTTACTCTTCCAGTGACCATCTGATCAATTTTTCAGACTTTTGTCATTACTGCATTTAAGAAATAGTTTTGATAACCACCACTGTGGCATGACCCCTCTTGCCTTAAAGCGTACATATCCTTTCATTCTTTTTTCCTCTCCAGACTGTACCAAAACACACTTGATTCGTTGCACCCTCATCTCTAAACATCTCTTAACATCTAATGTGGATGGCTTGCACACAGACTTCCCACAAGAATATTAAGTTGAATGGAAACTTACAGAAGGTGAGCATTGCCCAGATTTATTTCATTCATGAACTTCATTCCACTTTTCAGTCAAGACTTGTGACAGCCGACTATTTGCCAAGTCTGTTGCTAGGTGGGATCAAAACAAAAAGCAAGCACAATCTAGTTCTGCTTTTGAATAAGAAAATTAAAAATGATACTTAGTGCTCTGTAATCTTATTTGGTGCTGACATTTAGGATTACACCCTGTGGTATCGAGATAAATGGGACATGCTCACATCTCCCTAAATCCAGGGAAAGTGGTATATAATCACAGGGCACAGCAGCCTCCCTAAACCCACGACTATCCCCAAGCCCCCAAGACAAACTCAAGTCCCATTTACCACTTGGAGGCATTTAAATCTGGAAGAGGGCAGATCTGTTGTCAAAGGCAATTCAAGTTTTCTGAAAAGTTCTGAGGGAATTCAGAATTTTCTGATGTGCTCTCTGCAGTCTTCACATCATCATTTTGTAGGCTCAATTTTTCCTGCATTTTGGGTTTTTCATAAAACAAAACATTTTCACTTCATGGAAGCTCCCAGTGACCTCCGTGCTGTTTATTACCTCTCTGGCTGTATTAAACCTCCGAGCTCTGCAGTGGGATTTCTAAAGGACACAGGCCTCAAACCTGCCAACCTATCAATTGAGTGGGGTGAAAAAATAAAAGTTAGTATGCTGTTCACACACTTGAGATTGGATTTGTAACTAACCTTCAGCATGGACAACACTGTTTACAAAGAGAGTCAGATTCTTAGGGTTTCGATGAGCTTTCTCTTCTCCTCCCCATCTTAGACCTCTTAAATGCTCACTTTCCTCCACAAGATGGAATTGCTTTTTTTTCTGCAAACTCCCCTTGTCTCCCTGGACTGTGTTATAATACCTACGGCAAGCCACTCCAACCCACGAATCCTGGGTAGTGGTTTGGGAGGTGACTTTCAGTGTAATGAGGTCCTGCTGCCACCAGGGCCCTAAAGAAAATTGCAAAGAGACCAAGTGTATCCTAGGAAACTTCTCACTTAAGACCCTCTCCACTCAATGACTTTACTGGTTTTGTTTGTTCATAATTATTTGTGGATGTAAATGCTTTGGTGAATTGAAAAATACCCTCTTAGGTTATTTCTTCTGCTTGTGCCACTTCATTGTCTTCCTATTAATACATGCATTGGTTGTTCTTTAAAAAATGACTAAGAATGTAAAATGATTTGTAAGTTACTCTGAAGAAAGGTGACACTGCCCTGTAACTCCATGTCATCCTGGATTGTCATTCACCATGCCAGACCTAGCCAAGGGTCAAGTATGTGACCTGGGCTCAGCCATCTCAATTGAGCAACCTCTTAAGCTTCAGTGAATAGATCGGCACATGCAAGTAACTTTCCTAGGTTTTGTATATAGCACTGAATAGAGCTGTTAGATTTTGTCTCAGTTTAGTAGGTGGGAAGGAGCAACTGGCAGCTATCATGTCTGCCAAGTGAACAAGATCAGCAAGCAGAAGAGAATCCAACAGAGATGGGAATTGGGAATCATGAGATATGAGTCCTTCTTGGCTCCACTTGGGACAGAAGCAAGAACCACCCCCTGGATATCACAGTCAACTGACAGCAGTAACTTCCCTTTTTGTGTAATTACATTGCACTGGGTCTGTGTCCTGACAACAGAAATTTCAATTAACACCCTTGATAATCCAAAAGTGCTTTCTTCTACAAATTTACAGGCCTTCAGTTACATAAAAGACTGCACATGTATTCATGTTTGCCAGATATTTCTATTTCTTCCTTTTAATTGTTTGTTCATGGTATTTGCCCATATTTGATAATTTTGTTTTTGTTTTGTAATAACTTTTTATATATTTAGCACACTACCCCTCGTTATGTCACTTTTGTAGCAAATATTTTTTTCCCAGATTGTTATTTGTCTTTCGACTTTGACAGGTTTTCTTGGCAAACACATGCTTTCCTTATGAATTCTGCCTTTGGTATTATGCTTTAAAAAGCACACCCTAATTCAAGGTTATTTAAAATTCAGCATTTAAAATAAAATTTAACAATCAAAAGCATTTTTCCATAATAGGAATAACCATTCAGAAAAGGAAATGGAAAATATGATTCTTTTCACAATACTCATAAAAGCTGTAAAGTAACTGGAATTGAAACATAATAATGAATGCACAATTATTTTTGGAGAAAATCTTGAAATAAATTAAAATACATAAAGAAAACTTGGATAGAGGTGTACTATATCATTTGGTGGAATAATTTAAACAGTGACTTAATATTGGTTAAGATTCATATAGAGGCTGCAAAATGCTAGATATTCTCTAATCCTAGTATTTTGTAACCCCTAAGTGAATGTATTCTATTCTGTATGATCTGCCTGCCTCAACTCTCTCCTGTCTCCATGGAACACCATCCTTTGCAGATTCTATTTTCTAACTCTGCCAACATCTTGTGATAGAGCCTTCAGGACTATTTTTCATCTGCTTGGTACTTGTACCCAGTTCATCACTGAGCTCAGCAGCATAAATCACTGCACATAGGGCTACAGCTGTGCTATCTGCAACCCTAGGAACTCCATTTATATGGTGGCTATGTGAGTGGCTCTTCTCCCTGCGGCAGGGAGCAGCTTAAACTACCAGACACCACTTCCCTGTGACCTATAGCTTTCCTCAATGTTTATTACCATATGAAATTGGATATTTGTAATCTCTCTCTTTTTCACCAGATTGCAAACCCCTCAAAGGCAGGAAGCTTGTCTACAAACACTTGCCTCTGCCATCATCAAGGTGTGTACAATGTGACCCCAAGTATTTGCTTAATAAATGATTGGTATCTGACTGGTTATGTTGACTTCTATCTTCATTTTTAAAGGCCCTAGCTTTCAATATCAACGTAATATTTTACATAAACTTTGGGAAGATTTTTCCCTTGCTCTAACATGTATAAATTAAACTTAAATACATTTATTAATTATTTGGGAGCAGTTGCTATCTTCACAATATTATGTCTCTCAATATGTAGAATGATATTCCATAGCGTTATTCATACAGGTTCTATCTATTCCCATAAGGATTATTCCCACTTATTTTGTACAATTGTTTGCAAGGAGGTACAATCATGTTTGAAGAGAGGGCTCTTCTACTTTCTTACATTTTTTTTCAGCACTATGGATTGAACTTATGCCCTTCAAACTGACCCATATGCACATTCTTCTTTTATTTTTGAGACAAGGTCTTGCTAAGTTACCCAGGCTGGGCTTGAACTTACGATTCTCCTGCTTCAGTCTCCTAGAGTGCTAACATCACAGGGATACACTTCCAAGCCCAGCTTCTATTCTATTTTATAAGCAGATGTTTATATAATATAGGAAATTACTAATATTTTATGTTATTTTCAGCAGAAAGTAAATATATCTAAATTATGTTTTAATCACATAGTAGTAGGTCTTATAATTTCTTTTGTGTGTGTGCATGTAAGCACTATGCCATTTTATTTATTTAATTTTTTAATTGAATTCTTTTACTGGTACATTGTAGGTATACAACACAATTACATTTCTCATTGGGAATTGTACCTTTACATAATGCATCTTGGTTCTTATTTTTTCC